CGGTCCCGCCGGTCCACCGCCCCGCCGGTCCACCCGGTCCCGCCGGTCCGCCCGGTCCTGCCGTCTTATGCTCGCGCGCCCGCTGCTATTTACCGTTGAAGCAGCCATGTGCAGGTGGGCTGAGGGCCCTCCCAAAGCCCTCGGTTCGCGCCGAGACAGCGCTGATTGCGCGCTCGTAGTTCTCGTCTGCCGTTGTGCAGCACGTCACAGTATGGAGCACGGCGCCCCTGGGAACCACAGGCGCAGCGTGATGAGTGCGCGAGTGCTCTGTCGCCAGCACACAGTACTCTTCTAAGTGCGACTGGGCAGTGAGCGTGAGCTGGCTGGTTGGGTCCGAGGTTGAACCGTAGCAAAAGGGATATTATTTGTTTCCATATTATGTTATATATTTTTTGTATATTTGTTATTAAGGGATATTATTTGTTTCCATATTATGTTATATATTCTTTGTATATTTGCCATTTATTCTCTTTCCAACTTCCAATACACGGTTTTACTGTAGTCTACGCGCAACGTTATCCGACTCCATCCATCTAATTTAGGTAGCTGCGGAGATCCACGGTATAGCTGACGGGATTTAGTACACTGCAAATGATGATTTCCTAATTTGAAGTAGGTCAGAGCGTACACATATGAAACCATTTTGTATAATATGCCTAAACTTGAAGTGAGCCTTAAGTCCACATTTGTTAAGTACTTTTATATTAGTATGATAATCATCTCGGTGCTATCAGACAGTCGCCCGTGTGCGGCAGCAGGCTGGAACGTACCTCATTTTCTATTCGTTGGCCCACTCGGCCCTGACCTCCCACAGTTCCGCGCGACGTCGGGGATAATCAGATCAGATCGGAGACAGTCTTAGACAATCTTAGATAAGGTGTATTTTGTGGTAGTTTTAATCATCGTCACTCGTCGCATTCCCCCAATGAGTTAATCGAGCTGCTCCAAGCAGCAGGTGTCATCACGTACGTGGTGGTGCCAACTTGAGACCGGGGGGGACCCATGGGGACATATCACTCCAATTCTGTCCAACGGGTTCCTATAGCCAAGTGGTAGAGTTGCAAAATGTAGTTGATGAGCCATGCTCTTCTGAATCCGAGCCGCATCCCTACATCTTCGTTTGTCTCCCCTCAATGGAAACGTGGATACCCTGCTGAGAATGCAAACGGCGTTAGGACTGATTCAGCTTGATATCAGGTCAAAAATGAGAAGCCGTAGACTGAAGTGCTAAATTTATATATGTACTGGACTTTTAACATATTTTTTTCTCATCTTGATTGCAGTGCCACGGTTTGTTCAATTACCAGCCGACAAGTGGAAAATACATCAAGCTATGGGTACATTGGCATTGGAAGGAGCAGTGAATGTCGCCGAAACAGGGGTGGAGAGTCCCGCGGGGAACCTAACTGCGTGGAAGCATTGCAATGGCTAAATGCCAAAACTGATCTGATTTGGAGGAAACTGTGAGTTTATTGACCATCGACTTCAGAGTCCCCCACATCAGTGTTCGCCGCCCATGTCCCTGTATACAGACGTTGCATGTTCTCCGCAGGCTACGTTTTGTAAAGATTTACTTGGAAAAATAAATCGGATGACGTTTGTGGGACTTAACATGCAATACTGTTTTTACACAAGCTGCTAACGTAAAAAACAGCTTTACTCCTCCTCTGATTTGGCCTACCGTCTTGCATGGTGGGAAAGGGCTTTAGCACTTTTTAACCCCAATCTCCGAAATGATTTATCGTTTACAGTTATGTTATGCTCACGTGACCTATGACCATGCCGAAATTCGATCTTGTATCACTTCTTTGCACGTTTTGAAAATCATGTGAAATCGCTCCATTGTGGCTGGCTGAGAAAACAATGTGGGCTAAAGCTGTTGCGCTGAGAAACGTTGCGCTTTGTTAATATGATTTTGACCCATTTTATTCCAATCAATCGAACGCATGTACTTGCTAAAATCACCCAGCCCACCAGGGTTTATACTTGGAACGCATCTTCAATTCAACTTTCAATTATGATTTCATGAAGTGCATATATTTTTTTAAACATTGTCCCTAAATCTCCCTGTGGGTTTACCACTAGCTGTGTCACAGCCTCTCGGGTTGACGCCGAGTGTAGCACGCGGCTAGTACAATGCTATCTGAAACGGTCCAGAAACCGCAATTGGAAGGTCCTGAAAGCTCTTAATTTCCACTTACAGGGACGGAGCTGACGATGTTTCGCGTCGACCTGCGTCTCTTCATCACATGGATCTTCGCCACTTTTGAAAAATGCTTTCATCCCCATGTTTCGCTTGGCATTTTGTATGGTGCGTTTTTCTTGGTACATGAGAAGCCCGACTTAAAACGTTTATTAAGGTCATATTTCACGGATTCCAGTAAATTTCTGATGACGATTAAAATCTCCCCGAATCCCAAGAATTATTCATATGCCGCTGCATGCAAGCTCAACACTCAGGTTAGCGCTCAAGCGCACACGCATTCCGGCATGTATAATTACTCCGGCATACGCAAGCATGTTCCCCGGAACTCATAAGGTGTGCTTTTATGCCAACACGGATGTCAACACCAAGGGTGAATGAGCTGCGCTAATTAAAGGAAAACCTCGGTGGAAAAGAAAAACCGGCTGAAAAGTACCATAGACGCCGCCCAGGCTGCTGGACAAACTGCGCCTGCAGTATCGCTGTGTACTTAAATATATGTTATCAGGGCAAATACAGGTGCCATTGTGGTGTATCATCAGGCTCAGTATGCTTTGAAAGAGACGAACGTGGTGTTGTGGCGTCCCATTCCTTCGATCTTTTATGTTGTGCCTGACGTGTGTTTGAAGCGCGTTATTGTTTTTTGTGATGCGCGGTTGTGCAGGTGGGCTGTAGCTGGCCACCGCGGTCGGCTTATGATAAGTTTGCCCCGTTTGCATTCAACGCTAGTGCTATGTAGCGTAACATGCTGTTGGCTTTTGAAGCGTCGTTTGCTGTCAGGTTTTCATTATTTGTGGGTCTGGAAATCGTAATTGCTGGTCCAACTCCATCAAATGTTTGCTGGGCAATCGGGAGTAGGCATGTCAAACCAGGTCGTGTGAGGTGAAAAAATTGACGAGTAGAGTTGTTTTTCGTAATTGTTGGGAGGGACACTCAGGTTCAGGTGTTCACTTTTGCACCAATTCACTCATCATATAATGCGCTGCTTTATGTTTATTATCGAAAGTAAACAACAACTAAGAAATATGTTTCCCATTCTAGATCAGGTATATTCCATTGCCAGTTTGCCATCACGTTTAGTGTTATAAACCACGACAAATTCGTAGTGTAGCACGAGAGATCTAAAGCTCCTAAGTTTTTCGGCATTATGAGTTGGTAGTTTCTGTGCTGGAGATAAGCAACCGTCAATGTTTCAGTTGATACGGATTAAGTGCTGCTTTGAAGGAGGCATTGTTCGTATTGAATCAACTAGAAAACAAAATGTTTCATAGTTGTATTACTGGTTACAAATGAACGAGGTTGGGTCATAATAACATTTGAAAAAACAAGACACATGAAATGCAGAGAATATTTTGGATTTATGCCAACACTGTCATTGAAAACCTATTATACTCTTTCGATATCATATTGATTCAGAATATATATATATATATATATATATATATATATATATATATTCAATTATATATCGTCACTCTTGTCAGGTGTGCTGACATTCCCTGGCCGAGTCCTTGCACCCCTCCGTGCAGGTGTGCGCTTCGGACCACTGGTCGGGTTGCAACAGACTTGAGTCGGGCGGTGCCGGAATCAGGAAGACGGCTCCCGCGGCAGGCTGGCTTTACACGACGGTGATCCAGTAGGGCACGTGGCGGCTTTGGAAGCGGGTCGCTGCCAAAATAGAAAACAGCGCGGGTTTTAGCCGCACAGCCCCACCGCCCAGGCTGGCGCGACGCCGGCGGGCCAGCGTCGTAAACGGAGGCACGGCAAGCTCCGAATCGGTCGGCACAGGTGGACAGCTGAAGTACTGCCGGCGAATCTGGCCACTCGATCTCGTTTGGTGCTGTCGGTCACGTCACTGAACCATAACGAAAACATCGCATGCTCAGGTGCTCGCCGTCTGTTTCGCCGTATCTATTGCATTCCGGATCTTCGCATAGCTCTCTGGCGCCAAAGATTTCGTCATTTCTGTTTCATTTTAAGCTTATGAATGAGGTATGCATAAAATGTCATGGCACTGAGACTGGATACTTAAGTCACTGCCGCCTAAATAACATCACTTTGTGTTAGTCAAACAAAGACATTAGCTGACGCTGTCACGACATTTTATGCGCACCTCATTTATAGGCATGAAATTGAAGAGAAGTGACAAAATCCACATTGCAGCTAAGTACTTGTTCAGCATTTGCGAGCACTACGTTTACGTACTTGCGGGTTAATGCTGGGCCAGCATAGTAGCTCAGCGGGCTTTTGCGGGCTGGATATCTAGCTGGCCGAGGCACTGGTCGAGGCGGGCCGGGATGCGGGCTGATATTTGTGGAAAAAGTTGCGTCTCTTGACTAAACCGGAGACACGAGACTGGGGGCCATGCTCACATCATACCCAGGTGATGGCTTACAACGGTCTGGAGCTAGGCCCCAGGGCTGGAGACAAACTCGACGTTGCCTGATGGGCGTTATGAGTCTGGACCCTATGACCTATAGCCTTGACGTCTTGACGTTATGGCATTAAGACTAGAAGCAACTTGAGCTACTTCCCGCCCAGATGCAATGGGCCTCCACAGTTCAGATGTGGACAACGCAACCGGGTCAAGATCTCCACTGCCCCAAGCAGTGGACGTCAACAGCTCAGGTTCGTAGGCCACCGCTCTTGTAACAAACTCGACGCTGTTACCGAGTGCTGGGAATCCATGGAAACTTCTTTCAGTAGCTGACATCTAGGTTAGGTGAATGGAAGTGATCATCCCAGCCGCCGCTACCCAGCCGCTCAGTTATCACCTCAGTCGCTCCTTGTCCAACAGGTGATGGGCATCAACAGTCCGGCGGCGCTGCAAGAGTTCGAGACGCTGGTGGACGCGCTGCCCGTCAAGACAACTCGGACGCAGTCGGCGGCGTTCGTGCCGTCCTTCCTGGAGACGTGGGTCTTCTACCAGATCACCAAGTGCTGAGTGGTGGGTCTGACTGACCGATGGGTGCGGGGCTCTGGCCCGCCCGACGGCTCGACGGCAGGAACGGGTGTCCTCCTGCCATTGTCAGAGGCGACGCGTGGGGTCTGCGGTCACAGCGGGGAGGAGTCTGCCCCGGTCAACCCCGCTTCATGTGAGGAGTCCTGCTCCTCCCGGTCTCGGAGGGAAGGCAATCCCTGTCCCTGCTTGGCCTTTGTCCGGTCACCAAGTGACCCCGTTGTCTGGACGGGGAGCACCCGTGCCCTTGTTTTGTTTGCTGCTGCGTTTTGCTACATGCCATCACGAATCAGATGTCGAGTTATGTTTGATCCGGAAATGTCACTCAATAAACTCTACCTTATTTTGAGGGTTAAAACGTGTGTTCTTTGGGAAAGATGGCTGCAAAGAACGCGACTCATATACCTATGAACACGTCTTGTTTTTGATTGTGATGAAAACTGCGCGTTTGGGGAACGGGAGGTACAGGTTTCGATTCACTCGGTGCCAGCCCGTCCTACCAGAACGAGAGGCAGGCGATGCCGTTTAGCCTCAGAAGCTGGGCACGTCGTAAAGCTCCAATGCCGACAGTGATAGTCATGAAAGGCTACTAGGTACGCACGGCGCGACGCGTGTGCTTTTCTGGACATCTGACGACCACAGAACGCGTTGCTTACCTTTAATCTTTAATGCGGCATTTCACCCCCTTCACTGATTCTCAAAGAAATAGATAGACTCAAACTTCACTAACTCCGTTGAGAAGCCGTAGGATATTCGTTGCTTTATTATAATGGGGACCACGCAGTGATCTTAGACTTCGTTCAATCACGTTCTCGATGAAACCACAAAGCGATGCAACGAGATCTGTTAGACATCCGTGCGTCGTTTGCCGTTCTCAGTACCGATCAATGCAGAACTTCTTTGACCGCCCAGGGGCTGGAGCGATTTGGAGTTAGTTGAAGACGCCACATCGTGCAGCTACAACCTGACCACTTACAGGCGTGGTGCTATTAATCTGCCACGATACTTTTCAGTCATACAAGTATTGAGACGTGCACTGAAGTCGGGACGTGCACCATCGGACGTGTGCAAACAATGGTGTGCGTTGATTGGAGTCTGTGTGACGTCTCGCCCGGCCATGCAGAGCGATCCCGGCTACCTTCCTTTCATATCCCATTTCCCGGTTGGGACTACGGCTGGTACGTGGCCCAGGTACGCCGCGCTGTACTTGGTTTTCAGTGATTTTTTTACCTTTGCTTTCCCCATGGTGAAATCCTGCGTACGCCGCTCCACAGAGAAATCTTTAAGAACCTACACGTTGAAAAATAGGGGTGAACGGTGATATAGCCAACAACTGTGGCAATTGTGTCGTCTATAAACAGTTCACTGGTTTGGAAGCGTAGAAATAAACCGTGTATTGGGAGCTATCGCGAAAACCGGGGTGGCATGACTGCATTGGCGAGCCACCGATACACAGGTATGAGGGACAGCTAACGGCACCTTTGTAAACATACGTGTGTGTCCAAAAATATCAGCTGCAGCAAATTTTACGTGTTTTATAATGCTAAGTAAATTGAGACTATCATGGCTGGTGCTCTGACCATATCGTGCTGCGCTGCAAGCACGGGCGGTGGAAGCGAGGGAGGGAGCACATGGGAGGCTGCCCACCCCACCACCGTGTCCCCTGCCCCGGAAAAGCCGCAGTGACAAGTGCTGAGTGCCGTAAGAGTGGTCAGCTACATTCCAGGTCTACAAAATCGAACCCTAGCATAATGACGCTACATGAAAAGAACGAGGGGTTAACCACGTTTATCTCCAAAACCCATCGAAGGATTTATCGTCACCGCAAGTAGTTCGACCCAGGGCCGATAGATCACATGGTGAAAGGGCAGATCCTACCTGAAAATTGATGTCACTTGCGTGGTGTCAAGGTCGTTACTATTGTGAGCACACCCAGCCGGCCCGCCGGCACAGCATGCCGTCCCTGCCATGTCGCGGCGCGGCCTCGGCCGCGCGGTGGAATGCGAACGGTGGAACCTAGCGCCGCGGGTGCTGACCGTCGTCCCGTGGCGGACCGTACGGGACGCTTGATAGGTGCGTGTATGCAGGCTGACTTATGAGTGGTAGTTCACCCGAACTAAATGTTTTGTCGTGCCTGCCTGATAGCAGGGGCAGGACGCCACTGGACTCGGTCCAGTGCATATCGCCGCGTCGCTACACGTCTCTCTCTGACCGAGCCGAGCCGAACCGAACCGCTGGACGAAGACATCACATGGCGCAGCCGACAGTTAAACCTTCTGCGAGAGACTCTTGATACTTCTACTCTGCATAGCCTACAACTTTCGATCAAGTTGCAAGATGGGTAGCACTGAAGAGGACACTGTACCACCGTAGCTGACGAAGCTGCTGGACGACCTTCAAGACCAGCGCCGGCAAGATCTCCAAGAGCAGCAAGAACAACATCGGCGTGACCTCAATCTACTCAGTTTAGAGATACAAGATATACACCGGCAGCTAACGCTCGTAGAGACTCCGGCATTTGAAGCAGTCGGGCGGGACGCCCGGTGCAATCTGCCGCTGACGTCCACTGATACCGCTACTGTAGAACCAAGGGCTCCACTAGTGCCATCGAGCTCGGATGTTCCACTACCATCAACAACGGCACCTTCAGTGGATGCAGCACCGCCAGCAAGAACGGTATCCTCAGCGAGACCACTGATGCCTTGCGGTGCCGTAAGACCGCCCACAGTAACACCGCCAGGCAAGCTCTCCTTGTCAATCAGTCTACGCGAATCCCGAGCGTGAAAGTCATCTTGGAACGATTACGGCAGGCTTTGTTATCTCACCACCTTCAGTAAGACCGCCCACAGTAACACCGCAGGCAAGCTCTCCTTTCCATCAGTCTACGCGAATTCTGAGCGTGAGGCATCTTGGAACGATTACAGCAGGCTCTGTTATCTCACTATCTTCAGTCGTGAACACCAGCTGGCGTGCCTACGCTCCCGCTTCACTGAAAACATGCGTGCAACATCTCAGCACGCTATTTGCATCAACGAGGAGTCTGACACGGTTCAGTCAGCGTTGGACAAGATAGAACATCATCTTCGCCTGCAGTGCAACCTCGCCATCGACCGAGTGAAGTTTGAAGAGAAGCAACAGAAAGAGGGCGAGCCATTCGATGCCTTGTTGGTTTCAGTGAGAGAGCTGACCGCTGATGCTTAACTGCACAGCACATGCATGGACCAGCGTCTCACTACCCGCATCATGTCAGGACTTTGCAACCAAGAGACCCAGCGCAAGCTTTTGGCACTGCGCCCATTCCCGTCACTAGAGCAGGTCATCGACACATGTTCTTCCGAGGAAGCGGCTCAGGCAAACAAGGAGGTGATACAAGATGTCATCAACAGAAACGCAACGTGTTCAGCATCTCCTACCACCGTGATCGAAGTGAATGTAGCCCTTCGCGAGGGCGCTCAGGCCCACTATGCGGACGCTGTGGCAGGTCCAGCCATCTGAGAGGAACACGTCCTGCAGCAGACCAAGCGTGCTTTTCCTGTGGCGTCAGGGGACACTTCGCCATTGTCTGCCGTAGAAGGCTCTCGTCCCAGTAACTACAGGCTGGGTCTGACGCGTCACGGCGATCACGCAGCAGACAACGTTACCTGTCACACTAGGCAGCTGTTCCCCAAGTCTTCGTCAGCAGTCTACATCGCAGTCTACGGGCCCCCAAGATTGCCATCAAGCTGGAAGATCCCAGCGGGACGTTCTTCGGCAGCATCAACGCAACCCCAGACTCGGGGGCTGAGATCACAGTGATGAGCTCAGACACTGCACACACCCTGGGTGTACAGGACAGTGCCCTGACCAAGCCGCCAAGCATCGACGTCACAGCTGCCAACGGGCAGTCCACGCACTGCATTGGCACATTCAAGGCCATCATTCGCCTCAACGAGAGGGCAGTCGAAGACACAGTCTACGTCTTCAATGAGTCACGGGGACTTCTTCTCGCCTGGTATACGGCCCAGAAGCTCGGCATCTTCCCAGACCACTACCCACAGCCCGCTGATGACTTCAAGACCCGGAGCGCAAGCAGTCACTGCGTGTCGCCAATACGCTCAGCGAAGAACACCGACCAACAACAACAGCGGAAGCAGCTCCGCAGTGACATTCTCAAGGAGTTCGCCGACGTCTTCACATCTGATGACAGCAATGCATCTCTTAAGCCGATGGCAGGCCCACCAATGGTCATTCACGTCACAGAAGATGCCAAACCCTTCGCAGTGCGCGCTGCCCGCCCTGTGCCGTACGCATGGAGAGACAACGCGAGGAGCTGCTGGAGCTGAAAGAAATGGCTCGACAGGGCATCATCACCCCCTTGGGTGACGAGCCATCAGATTGGTGCCATCCACTGGTGCTGGTCACAAAGTCTGATGGAGGAGTGCGGGGTTCGACAGGGCATCATCACCCCCTTGGGTGACGAGCCATCAGATTGGTGCCATCCACTGGTGCTGGTCACAAAGTCTGATGGAGGAGTGCGGGGTTCGACAGGGCATCATCGCCCCCTTGGGTGACGAGCCATCAGATTGGTGCCATCCACTGGTGCTGGTCACAAAGTCTGATGGAGGAGTGCGGGGTTCGACAGGGCATCATCACCCCCTTGGGTGACGAGCCATTAGATTGGTGCCACCCACTGGTGCTGGTCACAAAGTCTGATGGAGGAGTGCGGGGTTCGACAGGGCATCATCACCCCCTTGGGTGACGAGCCATCAGATTGGTGCCATCCACTGGTGCTGGTCACAAAGTCTGATGGAGGAGTGCGGGGTTCGACAGGGCATCATCACCCCCTTGGGTGACGAGCCATCAGATTGGTGCCATCCACTGGTGCTGGTCACAAAGTCTGATGGAGGAGTGCGGGGTTCGACAGGGCATCATCACCCCCTTGGGTGACGAGCCATCAGATTGGTGCCACCCACTGGTGCTGGTCACAAAGTCTGATGGAGGAGTGCGGGGTTCGACAGGGCATCATCACCCCCTTGGGTGACGAGCCATCAGATTGGTGCCATCCACTGGTGCTGGTCACAAAGTCTGATGGAGGAGTGCGGGGTTCGACAGGGCATCATCACCCCCTTGGGTGACGAGCCATCAGATTGGTGCCATCCACTGGTGCTGGTCACAAAGTCTGATGGAGGAGTGCGGGGTTCGACAGGGCATCATCGCCCCCTTGGGTGACGAGCCATCAGATTGGTGCCACCCACTGGTGCTGGTCACAAAGTTTGATGGAGGAGTGCGGATATGCGTTGACCTCACCAAGCTCAACAAGTTTGTAAGAAGGCCTCTGCATCCACTCTTTACTCCAAGAGAGGTCGTCTCTGGTATCCC